ACACCTTCTCATTTACTATCAAGTCTTTTAAAGTGATATTGAGAAATAATCTGAGGTTTGAAGTGAAAAAGTAATACTGTTTTTGAATAGCCGTGAATTCATGTAGAAGAGACCTTTCAGTATGAAAAAGTATTTATTAGAAAGCTTTAATGGAGTACTTTCATTTTAGTCTAACAACAAAGTTCGAGTTTATTATAAAAATAATGAGATATTTTAAAAAAACTTCATGTGACACGAATTTCGAATTTATTCTCACATATGGAAAAGCAGCCTCAGGGAAATGTCACACGACTACAATCACAAATTTAAATTCCGTGATGTTTAACGAAATAAATTATATATGAATGTGGAAGAAGCAGAGCTTGGAATCTGTTATCAGTGATATGTATTTTTATTTTAATACATTTTTATTACAGTATTAATACTGAAAAAGGTATGTTTTTAATCATATGAAATACTAGCTTATTGCTTCACAGACACTTTATGACTATATACCTACCTATTTTTTTCACATCACAGCAATGGATACAACATATGAATCTGGATAGTTTACTTTCACATTTATTTTTGCTAACATCGAATCTATTTCCACAAGTTGGACATCAAAAGGATTATAGTGCACTTCCTTCAAAAGATTGTTATTCTTAGGCTGAGATTTAGGTTCGGGTTCAGGATTGGTATTGAAATCAGAAGAAGTGTCACCCTCAGCATAATAAGTTCCAGAATCAAAACGGTCGATCTTTTGTCTCATTGCAATTCTACAAAGTAAACTAAGATGTTGGGCTGTTGGATTTCAACTACCATGAACTCTAGAAGCATGTTTGCTCCTTATTTTTCTCAAGATTTTGGCAGTAGTACCATATGCCTTTAAAAATTTGCTAAATGCTCTGATATTGCATTTTCCATTATCACCATATACAGGATCACATAACTTTTTGATTGCTATAGCATCTTGAATCCAAGTAAGCAATTCTCTTGCATGTTCCAGATTCTTTTCCATGGAAAGGAATTGTCAAGGCTCAGGATTAACCTTCTCTTTTCCTTTATTCTTAACATATCCTGTACAATACCAATAATAACCAGTTTGTACCATTCCAATACGTGGAGTGTAGAATCTTTGACTCATATTTACAATACAAAAATCAGGATATATAATTGATGAGTAATATATAGATCTATCACAGTAGATAAGATTACCCAAAATACAAAGGCGATGTTTGGATTATGAAGAGATGTGTGGATGTCTAAAGGCAAATAACATTAAATCGCTCTCTGATTTGACTTGTTATGTTTTCAGTGTGAGCTGGCACATTCACACCAAAGAGAAATATGTAGCAATTAATTTTCATATTTTTTTTTCAAATGCAAATATTGTTAATTCTATGAAAATTTCAGGAAAACTGACCTCAAGGTCACAGGAGGCACAATAAGGCTTAAACAACGAAATTTTAAGTGATATAAATATTAATATGCTTTACTTTATTACCCACATATTCAATGTCATCCCAGCTTAACTTTGAAATAGCTAAGCAGAAAAAGTTTTATCTTTTCTACACCAACTTTGGTAAAAAATTCATATACTTTTAGTGCACTTTTTCTAAGAGCATCAACCATTATCTTCATAGGAATTTGTTTATGGATTTCTTCTTTGACTAGATGTTGAGCCACAGGTATCCATTTCTTTTTTTCTTGTATATAATAATCATGACATTCTGATACAGCTTTACCGAAATCATAATAGCTTTTAATTACTTTTTGATTTGTTGTTGCATTCTGGGATCCAGCATGATCAATCATACTATACAAATGCAAAAAAATTACTAGTATTTATCCTGCTTCAGCCCTCATAAAAATAAGTCCTTTTACAATGCAAGGTATCAATTAGAGAAATTTTTGATGACATTATGATGAAGTGAGGAACAGTTGCTGAAAGATGACTTATGATATTAGCTGGCATAAATGGTTCGAATTATGGACTCTGCAAAGAAAAGCTAGAAGAAAGGTATTAATATGTAATTGCAGAATTATAACAATAAAGATCAAAGAATGCATTCTCTCATGCTATCATTGATTAGCCCTCCACCATCAGGAAACTTTTCCCGCCATAAATTTACATAATATTATGGGGCCCGCCATAAACTGGGAGGCATTCACTTTACCGACAATCACTTTACCGATGTATTATTTTACCAACAATCATTTTACCGAAAGTTCATTTTACCGAAAGTTCATTTTACCGACAGTTCATTTTACCGACAGTTCATTTTACCGACAATTACTTTACCGACAATTACTTTACCGACAATTACTTTACCGACAATTACTTTACCGACAGTTCATTTTACCGACAGTTCATTTTACCGACAGTTCATTTTACCGACAGTTCACTTTACCGACAGTTCATTTTACCGACAGTTCACTTTACCGACAGTTCATTTTACCGACAGTTCATTTCACTGCCAGTTCAAGTTCACATGTATTTTGGGTGGAGAATGTTTAAAATAATTGACAACTTGCAATCTAATTCAGATCGGTCCCGTTTACTTCGTCGAAAATTATTTCATCAGCTTATGTATCGTACTAATGATAAATGAGGTGATGATATAGTGATGGCAACAATATTGACATTGAATATTTTAGTATTGATAATAATTATTGTTTTTTAGTAGAGTGTGTGGAACAGACAAATTGGTAATATGATACATAAATTTGAGTCACGCAAACTAATTAGCACTCTGATTTTACCTGAATTTTCTGAATTCCATCAGGAATGTACTTTCTTAATTACAATCATACAAATGCAAATTATACTAATAATAAATAAATTAAATGGTAGTATATACAAAAAAAAAATTTTTTTATAAATTTTGTTTTGTTAAATAAATTTGTTTGATTTTTTCATACGTCGTTCATGTTTTGTCTTGATCGTATATCTTAAATTGGTCGCGTTTACAATCATTTTGCATTCGTTATATTAAGGTTATTTTGATTATATCGAGAGATATGGTCAAGAGAAGAGTTAGGAAGAGAGTTATTCTTC